ACCTTGGGGAAAAAAACAAAACAAAACGAGAAAAACTTAGCATGAATTTAGAAAATCTGACCAGCACAACCAACCAACAGTTTATATTTGACGTACATGGGACATATTTATAATTGTACATGTTTTTTATAAAATATGCCTCAACAAATTTAAAAGCACTGAAATTATACAGCATATATGCTCTGGCCATTCCAGAACCAAACTGGAGAGTAATAGCAGAAAGCCATTTGGAGAAACCTAAATACAAGAAAATTAAACAGCACACTTCTAAATAATCTGAGCTAAAGAGAAAGTATCGTCAAAAATAAAATAATAATATAGAACTGAATGAAAATGAGAACATATATAAAAGCATTTGAGATGAAAATAGTACCAAAGGGAAATTTATACCACTCAGTACTTACACTGAAAATAAGTGTCAAATCAGTAAACTTATTTCCAATTCCCTGAAAAAAAAACAAAAAAATAAGAACAAAAGAAGCCAAAAGTAAGCATAAGGAAGGAAATAGTGAACGTAAAAGCAGAAATAATCAGATTGAAAATAAAAAGATGTAGAAAATCACCAAACAAAATATCTTCAGAAATGTCAACATAATTGATAAAACTCTAGCAAGACTGATGAAAATAAATGAGAGAAAAGTCGGCAATAACACAATTGAAACCTGCACATTACTGCACATTCTACAGCCATTAAAAATAATAAGGGAATAATATAAGCAGCTTTACATTTATAAATTTGGCTTTTTGAAAGAGATAAGGACAAATTATCTTCTGTGCATCACTGACTCGATGGACATGAGTTTCAGCAAGCTCTGGGAGTTGGTGATGGACAGGGAAGCCTAGCATGCTGCAGTCCATGGGGTCACAGAGTCGGACACGACTGAGCAACTGAACTGAATTGAAGTCCAATTGGTCTAAAACCACAAACTACCCGGGCACAATTCAGAAAAAAAGGGCTGCATTCTGGCCTGCAGCGTAAACCAATTTGCTCAAAGTGACAGAATTTTCTCATTAGTAAAATCATATTGCCACCTACTTGGTTAATCTTTCCTGGTTTACTTTTGTAGACTTAGCTATATTATACTCCCACATAGTACTGGACATCCTTCTCCCTTGATAACAGTTTGGGGTTAATATATGTTTGTAGAATTTTGCCACATTATTAGAGCATACCTTCGGTGTAGTAACAGTGCATTTTTACACCTTACTCTTTGCCTCACACTAAATGTGCCCATAATTAATGCACTTTAATGAAAAGATATATAAATACTTCATAATAAACAGTTTTAAATAGTTTTACAACTTAAATATGAGTATTAAATTTTCCTTTTTCGGATGCCACCCATGCTAAGCTACATCCGGAACATGATTTTATTTCCATGCATCTTACATTTTTGCAGAATGTATTAGCCAGAGGATGTGTGTGTGCTTATTCCTATTAACCTTTTATATTAGGTCAGTGCAAAAGTAATTGTGGTTTTGCATTGTTGAACTTTGCCATTTGATACTGGGATACATTCTTAAATAAATGTGGTTACAAAACAATAACAAACCATTTCTCAACTGGATTGTGATGTGTGATGAAAAGTGGATTTTATATGACAACTGGTGATGATCAGCTCAGTGAATGGACCGAGAAGTTCCAAAGCACTTCCCAAAGCCAAAATTGCACCGAGCAAATGTCAGACCACTGTTTGGTAGTCTGCTGCTTGTCTGATCCACTTTGAATCCCAGTGAAACCATTACCTCTGAGAAGTATGCTCAGCAGGTCGGTGAGATGCAGAGAAAACTGCCACACCTGCAGCCGGCGTTGGTCAACAAAAGGGACCCAATTCTTCTTCACGACAACCACAGCCTGACCACACGTCACACAACCAACACTTGAGAAGCTGAACAAATTGGGCAACGAACTTTCGCCTCATCTGCCATGTTCACCTGACCTCTTGCCAACAGATTACCACTTCTTCAAGCATTTTGACAACTTTTTGCAGGGAAAATTCTTTCACAGACAGCAGGAGGCAAAAAATGCTTTCCAAGAGTTTGTCAAATCCTGAAGCATGGATTTTTACACTACAGGAATAAACAAATTTATGCCTCATTGGCAAACATGTGTTGATTGTAATTGTCCCTATTTTGATTATTATATATGTGTTTAAACCTAATTATAATGATTAAAAACTCACAGTCCGAAACTGCAATTATATTTGTACCATCCTAATGCTTCTTGTTAGATTCTGATAAGTCGCCCTCTGTTTTAAATAGTATTCCCACACGAGGCTTTGTAGAATGAGTTAGCATTTCAGAATTTGATAATTCTATGACACTGAACAAATCAACTTTTTAAGCAAGTAAAACCTGAGCCAGACCCTGACATACAATTACAGGAATGTAAAAGTTAGTATGCAGGGCCTCTGAAGAGATAACTAGAACAATCTAAACTCTTTTCAATATCATCATATGAATTTCATTTTACATTTATTTAATATATTTTATACTTTATAGTTTAAAATCTCAAATAATTTCCATATTCAAATACATTCATAAGACTCATGCAATATTGCAGCTATATACTACACTATGACTATGAATGAATAAAAAAATGCTACTGTGGTATGCTCTTCCCAGGTGGGCTAGTGGTAAAGAACCTGCCTGTCATTACAGGAGATGTAAGAGACGTGGGTTTGATCCTTGGGTCAGGAAGTACCCCTGGAGGTGGAAATGGCAACCCACTCCAGTATTCTCACCTGGAGTATTCCATGGACAGAGGAGCATGGGGGGCTACAGTCCATAGGGTTGCCAAGAGTCAGACAAGACTGAAGTGACTTAGTACACATTGTGGTGTGTACAATATGGAAAGTAACATTAATGGCAAGATATGTAATGAAACAATTAACAAAATATAATTAAATGCAAGTTACCCTTGGTTTAGTAGATAAGGAAGAGGACAACAAAAAACTCCATGTATTTTAAACAACTTGTAAGCATTCAGTTCAGTTCAGTTTAGTTCAGTCACTCAGTCGTGTCCAGCTCTTTGCAACCCCATGGACTGCAGCACGCCAGGCTTCCCTGTCCATCACCAACTCCCAGAGCTTGCTCAAACTCATGTCCATGGAGTCAGTGATGCCATCCAACCACCTCATCTTCTTCCAACCATGTCATCCCCTTCTCCTCCTAGCATTTAAATAAAAATGCATGGAGAAGTACAGCTGTTCGTATACTACCTCAGCAAGAGCCAGCAATGGCCATCCTCACCCTGTTCAGATTCAGTGCCAGGTCCACACCTGCTCCATCCTCCACAACTGCTCACTCTCCTCCTTGCCTTTGGCCTAGTGGAAAGTGACACTTGAGGCAGAGAGTTGAGAGGGCGTGCTCGGCACAGACCAGGGTGTGCAATAGGGTAGTCATAGGAAACAGGCCAGAGCCCGGGGAAGTTTTCATCTGCTTCTGCCACCCTGTTGCTGGGAGCAAGCGTGTGTGTACTTTTCACTAGCGGAGTCTAGGTTTCTTACAACCCTTCTGTTTTCAAACCAGATAAGGCTTCTCTTCTCAGTCTGAGCCCACAAGGCTAGGGTGCATAATGCATTGTTCAAACTACTTATTCCCCAGGGAAAATCTCTGAGCCTATGATACTCTCCTCTTCTGTGTCCCCTCTCTAGGGGTGCAGGTCTCAACCTGATCATTTCTCCCCCTTCCTTCCTGACTCCACATGGATGTCTTTATAGCTTGAGTTGCAGAAGAATCTTTTTGCCATTCTCCAGTTTGTTTTAAGTGAGATTTGCTACACTGGTTCAGATTGTAAAGGATCTGTCTGCAATGTGGGAGACCTTGGTTCGATCTCTGGGTCAGGAAGATCCCCTGAAGGGAATGGCTTACTCACTCCAGTATTCTTGCCTGGAGCATCCCCATGGACAGAGAAGCCTGCTGGGTTACAGTCTATGGAGTTGCAAAGAGTCTGGCTTAACTGAGCGAGTAACACAAACAGATATGTTTTTGATGTTCTCATGGCAGGAGGGAACTTAGCATCCTCCTACTTTGCCATCTTGATCTCTTCTCTCCTGAATGAGTTTCTGAGAAACAATTTTTAAATACTAAAAGTAATAGGATATGTTATGTAGTAAAAAGACACATTTCTGAGGGTAGATCAGTAAACTGGCATAAATAAAAGGGTCATTTCAGTTTATTCCATCATTTTCTCCAGGGATATAGATTCATTCTCCCCAGTCAGAGGTTACTTGGTAGAAACTGGAAAAATACCATCCTGCACACTATCTAAAGAATTTTATAAGAAGTAAAATTAATTGAATCAAGCATTTTTGACCAATGAAGGGAAAAAAGTGTCAGTTATTTTATGAATTTAAGCTTTATGTCAAAGTTTCTGCATTGCCAACACCAATCAGAAAACATTCAGCTTCTGCTGAAACGTTTTCTCTTTGTGGTTTGAACTGAGCCATGAGATCATCTTGGAGAGCTACAGAGTGCTAAAAAGCAGATACCTTTCAACTTTCGAAAGTATTATATATTAGTTTATAAGTAGATTTACTGTGCCATAAACAGAGGCTGAATAGTGCCTTTAGGCTGTTGGTATTAAATTGTGTGTAACATATGATGCCAGATTCTAAGAGTTTACTCTTGAACGGCACTAACCAGTAGAACTTCTTCGATTGAACATTTCATGTCTGCTCTGTCCAATCTCATGTATATATTGAGTACATAAAATATTTCCAGTGCAGCTGAGATATATATGTGATTGGGAAAAAAGACTTTAAGACAAAGAGATGAGCACTTATTGGGACATTTTGATAATAAATTGTTATAAAATAAATCTTGTCATAATCTTTATAGTAAGTCACTGCAGCAATTGCTAGGAATAAAATTTATTACACACAGAGTTTAGAATGAGAGAGAACTAAAGACTGAAGGTCTTCAATCATTCATTCCTTCATCAAACATTTATGTTTTATTATAGTGAAGGTACTTTGTTAGATGATGAACATTTAAAAACATAGGATTTCTGCCTTCAAAACTCACACAGATTAATGAGAATGATTTATAAGTGAACTTTTCCAACTAATTTTAATGAATGTTAACAGAGTGATATATAAGATTATAATCTTAGCAAGAAGTAACTTTCCATAGGATTGATTGTGGGTTGAACGAGGGAAGAAAGGAGTGACTCTCAATCTGTCTCATGAATAACAAGTCAGTTTGAGGCATTTCAGGTAAGGGGATATAGATATGCGAAACCATTAATTCATGGGTGAATTTAATACATTCAAGGAACTTCTTCAAGATGTCAGCGTGGTTATAGAATATGCCACCGGTTGCAAGCAATAGCATGACAGTCAGTATCAGGTTAATATTAATAGTATAGAAATTCCATCAGGCTTTCAACAAAGAGGTTATTAACTTAGAGAGTCAGATACAGGTGTTAGAGAACTAGAAAAACAAATTCAGTATAAAATAAGATAATGGCAGTAAAAACAGCTATCAACTCTTGGGCTCTAGGAACAAATGCAAGCAATCGATACTTGGAAGTGTGTACCAATGAAGCTGGGGCTTAGATCTCTGAGGGGAAGTTGCTGCTTACCTAGTGCTGATACCTTTGAGGGTACATAAGTTAGTTTTAGTGAACAAAAAGAAGCAGGAGTAACATTGACAAGAATAGCAGTTGAAAGGAAAAAATAGTCCAATGACTCTTCCTAGTTCCTATTTTCAACTCTTCTTAGAGCCTAATATAAAATAAAATGAGAAAAAAATTTAAAAAGGTATTTATAATGCGTCCTGTCTTAGCATCCCAGTGAGGAGGTACAATTTGGAATGGGCTAAAACAATCACAGTGTATTTCATTGGTGAATCAACATTTATACGTGCCCTTCCATACATTTAACTTTCACATCATGACAATGTATTTATGCTTCACCCTAAGATGTAGTTAATCATTTATATGAATAAAGCACTTTCACTGTCTCTACAAAAGTGTGAGTAACAAAATACCAAGAAACATAGGATGATTTTGGGGCAATAGTCGCAGGGTTCATCTCTGAGCAATGTAAATTACTCTTCTCGTTCATTCCCAGTCTCTTCAGAATAGTCTATAATTTGGAAGATCAAGTTATAAAGCAAAATACCACTAGGAATTCTTATATAAACTGATGAGTAAGGACAAAAGTGTAGTTAATATTAATAAGAATAGTTAGTATAAACCTGTGTACATGAGACAGAATGCAAATGTGTGTGCATACATAAAATACAAAAGGAAGACAGTGCATAACTGTTATCAATTCCTGTTTCTACAATAGGTAAATTATATTTTTCTTCTTTGTCCATCTGTTTTTGTTGTTGTTGTTAATTATCACCCAGCTAGCATTTTAGGTTTCTTATCTGGTCAGGTAACAAACAATCTCACCTGCCGTGGGAACAAAAGATTTCAAATTAACATTGGTCAAATTTGTAGGGATAAAAAGCCAAATTTGTATAAGTAAATTATGTATAAACATGAGAGGAGCAGGAGCAAATCCTGATTTCTTGATTCTTGATTCTTGTCAACCTTTGATTTCTTGGTTCATTTATTTTAGTTTGGGCTGAACCGCAACATATAACATGGTTATTCAGTGTATATACTCCATCCTGAAAGATAGAAACATACAGTTTCAACATATTCTCTCTCAATTTGGGCTGTAATAAAGTCTTCAGTAGACTATTATGCTATTGTGCCATTCTCTAATCCCAGAACCTTTAAAGTGACACAGTGATTCTATAGGCAAAAGTGAACTCTATAGGCAGGATCCAATTCTAACACTTTGATATGAAATACATTCCTTGACAAAAGCAACTTTAGGAAGAATACTAGAACATAAAGTAAGTCATTCCCTAAGTTCACAGAATGTTGACAGTAGTGGAAAAGTTGTGAACATGAAATGCATGTCCGTTGAAGGCGCTACATGTTTATTTCAGTGAAGCAAAGTAGTTGATATCTCCATATTGGAAGGGATCCAGTATAGTCAATCTGCCACCAGCTGTGTGGCTGGTCCATCTAGAGAACTGTGACAGCTCTATATCATGACAACATTTGCCTCTGCTGTTGGCAGATAAGACACTCAGGTAACCAGGTCAGACTCAGTGAAAAAAACCTCATTTTTGTTGAGTCCATACCTAGACTCTTTTTTTTTAAATCATGACCACCATGTACTTAGGTACCAGAATGGCTGGGAAAGAGACTTAATGTGGTCCAGTATGTATATATACACATTCTGCTGAGCTTCAAATAAAAGCAGACATTTTAATATCCACCATCTTTTTCTCAAAACCTATTCTTTGTTTTCTTCTAATCTTTCCATTCTATTCTTTCCAGTTCTTGACAATAAGGCCAAAGCAGAGCTATTAGCCATTAGTCTGTGCAGATCCATATTTCTAACCATTTCTTAATATAAAATAGATGACTTAAATATACTCCCCTAGGTTTTGCCTATTGGCAAAATTTCTCTGCACTGCTGTCTTTCTGGGAAGTTGTTGACTGAGACTGGGGTGTTCCAGCAGTCCAATTCTGATTGTTATAAGTACGGCCTGAAAACAGTTTGTTAAACAAAAACCTTATACCTTTAATCAGAGATGGTGGTGCCTGTGTACTTCCAGACTGTAGGTGCAGACTGAGGAAAGGAAAGGATGAAACTCCAGTAGTTGCTCTGAGGGTCTCAGCCACCTGTGGGTGCCCCTCTTTGGTGCCTCCGGATCCTTGGCGGCTCAGATGGTAAGGAAACTGCCTGCAATGCAGGAGACCTGGGTTTGATCCCTGAGTCAGAAGATCCCCTGGAGGATGGCTTGGCAGCCCACTCCAATATTCTTGCCTGGAGAATTCCATGGACGGGAGCCTAGCGGGCTACAGTCCACGGGGTCGTAACAGTCAGGCACGGCTGAGCAACTGAGCACGCATGCGTGATCGCTTGGGGCCTTACATCCTGTGATGATACGCTCTGGTTATGAACACCCACACTTCTGCCTTGCTGAGCTAGATAACATGCACTTCTTGGTAGACTGCTGAGATAGCTTCATCGCTTGATGTTTTACCTCAGGTATTCAGCCTCTGACAAGGGTTTAAAAACAAGACAGGAGTAGTTTTTCACGAAGATAATCATTATCTTCTGATTTCATGGTTTTGCAGTCTCAGTGCCAGAATCCTAATGGATAGTGGGAGATTTGGAGCTGAGAGACAATAATTTATATATCACAGTTGGTCTGTGAGAGTGAAAGGTAGGTTGAGCTGGCATCATAAAAATCTCTGTAACCTTTGAAAGAGCTTCATTTTCTAATAATATAGTGAGCAACTCAACTGGGTTGATTTAGAGAGTAACATGGCGTCTGTGTGCGTGCGTCTGTGTGCGTGCGTCTGTGTGCGTGCGTCTGTGTGCGTGCGTCTGTGTGCGTGCGTCTGTGTGCGTGCGTCTGTGTGCGTACGCGCGCGCGTGTGCTAAGTCATTTCAGCCCTGTCTGACTCTGCAACCCCTGGTCTGTAGCCCGCCAGACGCCTCTGTTCATGGGATTCTCCAGGCAAGAATACTGGAGTGGGTTGCCATACCTTCCTCCAGGGGATCTTCCTGACCCAGGGATCTAACCCTCCTCTCTTATGTCTCCTGAATTGGCAGGCGAGTTCTTTACAACCAGAGCCAGCCGTGAAGCCTGTAACATGGCATATTTTCCCTTTAAAAAGAAAAATCTACCAACATAATAAATGATAGATTTGAGAATAAGGAAGATAGTATTAGTGATAGGAAATCTAATTAAGGTGTTTTTACATTAGGTCAAGCCGGAGATGGTATGGGAATGAATATTGATAAGCGAGGGAGAGGGAGAGGTACAGTAAACCCAGGTCACATTTTACGCTCTTTGATTATTAACTAGGTGTGCACTGTGAGGGAGAAAGAATGAACATTCATTAGCATTAACAAAAACTGATCTCTTATGTGGATGGTAATGGTCTTAACCAGGATAGTAATAGATAAAGAACAACATGTTTTAAGGACAAAAATGTCATTTTAAGACCTCTGAGAGTGGTTGAAAGATATGAGTGATAGGCAGAATAAAGGCCCCCACAGAGATGCCGGTGTTCTAATCCCAGAGTCAGTGACTGTGAATTTACTTAGTGAAAGGAGTTTTGCATGTGTTAAGGACCTTGAAATTGGAAATTTATCCTGAATTACAAAAGTTGCTCCAGTGTAATCAAAGGGTCCTTAAGACTAGAAGGTAGGAGTGTCAGAGAAAGATATACAAAGATGCTACACAGCTGCCTTTGAGGATGAAGGATGTGGCCACTAGGTAAGGAATGCAAGCAGCCTCAGGGACAGAAAAAGTCAAGGAGACAGATTCTTCTACTAGAACCTCAGAAGGAACACTGCCTTTTTGAAACCTTGATTCCGGCTCAGTGAGACCGGTGAATTGTAAGATAACTCTCACAATTATGTATGCTATTTTAAGCCACTAAATTTGTGCTTCCCTGGTGGTGATAGTGGTAGGTTCTTACCTGCCTGCCAATGCCCCGGAGGAGAGCATGGCAGCCCACTCCAGTATTTTTGCCTTGAGAATCCCGTGGACAGAGGAGCCTGGCAGGCTGCAGTCCATAGGGTCTCAAAAAGTCAGACACAACTGATGCAACTTAACATGCAAATTTGTGGTAATTTGGTACAGCAACAATGAATCTGAAAGGACCATCATGGACTAGAATAGCAGTTCTTCCCTTCACCACTGTTACTATTAGGGAATGTGAGAGTGATACAATACAAGCAGGCATTTATCATGTTTCAGTTAATAAAGAGATGTGGGAGAGAAATTTAATGAAGAATTTAAACAGTAGTGAAATTTGAAATTAATCCGAAGAAAATTTCACAACAGTGAGAGTGAGCAGGAAGGAGAAAGCTCATATTGATATTAGAAGGGATAGTGCAATGACAGATTCCATTTGTGAAATGACCAAAGATAACAGTAATGTGTAACACTGTACTAAATTTTCAATCATGTCTTAACTTTTAGGTTCTTATTTTTAAAATTTAGAAACATACTTGCAAAAAGAAACTCTCAAACATAGTTGGAGTTATTGTATTTTCATCTAACCTCTTATATTTTTCCATGTCTTTTTTTTCTGGAGGAAACTTTTTAAAATTGGAAAACAAAATGACTGCACAGGAGGAAAATAAGGGTCATATAATTTGGATTATGATTAAAAAAACCACACAAGTACAATTATTTAAATACACATTACCCATACCAAAAAACTGAACATTACTTCCTCATCTCACATTTATCATTCCTCTAAAAGATAACCAGTATAATGATTTCCATCAATGACTTTTGTGGCTTGTTTTTGATATTTGTGTGAAAAAAAAATTAGTATGTACTTTCTGTGACTGGTTTATTTTGCCCAGTATCTTATTTTTGAGTTGCTTCTTGGTGAATGTAGGAGCAGTTTGATTTTCCCAGTTTGGAACTATTGCAAATAATAGTTATAAACATTTTTGTATATCGCCTTTTGTGCACAAAAATACACACTTCTCTTGAGTATATACTTAGGAATGGACTTGGGTAATAGGATGCTTGGGCTTCCCTGGTGGGGGATCCCTTTACTGGGGTATTCCCGGTAAAGAATCCATCTGCATTGCGGGAGACCTGGGTTCAATCCCTGGGTTGGGAAGATCCCCTGGAGGAGGGCATGGCAACCCACTCCAGTATTCTTGCCTGGAGAATCCCATGGACAGAGGAGCCAGCTGGTCTGATGTCAAAGAATCTGACATGACTGAACGACTAATCACAGCAAAGCACCATAGGATATTCAGAAATAGTGGATGTTTTCAAATAGTTTTCCAAAGCGGTATCAGATGACATTCCCATTAGCAGAGTATGAGTGCTAATTTCCTTTGCATCCTCATTAGCAATTGTCACTGTTGTTGTTTTAGCATTTCTGTTGGATGCCTAGTGGTATCCCTTCATGGCTTTACTTGAACCTTCTGTGATGAGATATTTTTCTCATTTTTCATGTTGGCCTTTGGGTACTATTTTTTGTGAGCTACTTTTTCAAGGCTTTTGACTGCTTTTTAAAATGTAGTTGCCTTAACTGTAAACATTTTATTTTAGGAATTTAAAATGCATTATGGATGGGTACTTTGACAAACATGTGTATCACAAATATATATATATATATATCACTATGTGATATATACTGTAAGGCTTAATGGTTTATATATATACTTTTTTCCTTCATGGTTAGTGCTTTTATGTGCAGTTTAAATAATCTGTCTATTCTAAAGTCTTGAAGATATTCTCTTATGTTATCTTTGGGAGCTTAGTTTTCTGACTTTTAAAATTTGTTAAAAATTCACCTGAAATTTATTTTTGTTCATAGTGCGAAGTAAAGCTAAGATTTATTTTATTTTCTATGTGAATATTTCATTGACAGAATAAAATTTACTGAAAAGATCACCACTTTATTGAGAGCTGACACAAGTGTTCAGTTGCTTAGTTTGGTCCCAATCTATGAGACTCCATGGACTATATAGTCTGCCAGGCTCCTCTCTGCATGGAATTTTCCAGTCAAAACATTGGGGTGGGTTGCCATTTCCTACTCCATGGGATCTTCGCACCCTATGGAACTGAACCTGCATCTCCGGCGTCCCATGCAATGCAGGCAGATTGTTTACTGCTGAGCCACTGAGGAAGCCCTTATTGAGTGTTACCTTTCTATGGATTCCCTGACTGCTCAGTCGGTCAAGAATCCACCTGCAATGCAGGAGACCCTGGTTTGATTCCTGGGTTGGGAGATCGGTGGGAGAAAGGATAGGCTACCCACTTCAGTATTCTTGCGCTTCCCTCGTGGCGCAGCTGATAAAGAATCTGCCTGCAGTGCAGACCTGGGTTCCATCCCTGGATTGGGAAGATCCCCTGGAGAAGGGGAAAGGCTATCCACCCCAGTATTCTGGCCTAGAGAATTCCAGGGACAATATAGGCCATGGGGTCGTAAAGAGTCAGATACAACTGAACGACTTTCACTTTTCTTTTCTTCTGTGGACTGAATAACTATTCCTATAGGTCTATTTCTGGATTTAGATCTGTTCTATTGGTCTATTTGCCTATTGTTTTGCCAAAACCACCCTATCTACATTATTTCAGCCTTATAGAGATTATTAATTATCAGATAGTGAATGTATTAACCTCGTAAAATAGTCTGGGATCATGTTGTCTCTTCTTGATCCATTGTGGTGCCATTTATATTTTAGAATCAGTTTTTCTTTATGGTGGGTTGCCGTCTATGGGGTCGCATAGAGCTGGACACGACTGAAGTGACTTAGCAGGAGCAGCAGCAAGATATCTAAATTTTTTGTGGGATTTAAGTGAGCTACTGCATATAAACTACTTTGAAGAGTGCCTACTGTTTATTTTTAATTATTAAAGCTATCTTTTTGTAATGTTTTTAAAGTGAATTATGTGAAAATATGTGAAAGGAATTTGAAAAAGCAAGAAGTATTATACAAAAGTAAAACAGCCACCGTTTTGGTTTCTAGGAGATACTGTTATCACTAGCCTAGATTATTTGTTTGCGTGTTCATCTCTATCCAGCATTAGAATAGCATTGCAAAACTCTCATTATTTTCTTTACATACATATATCATGCATATAACATTATCAAAAAACCTGAAAATCTCTTTATAAACTTTGCAACTTGTTATCAGATACAGGTACTTTTTACATTATTTTCTCTCTCCCTAAAACTACACTCTTAGCAAAATTCAAATTTGCACTTGGGTTATATAGTCTAATATTATTTGAGAAAGAGAGGAAATTGGATCAATTACTTAAATCACTAACTTTGTCATGTGGACTTATAATAAGTTCAGTGAAGGATAAGAAACAATTTCAGGCATCTGATCAAATTTGAAAGTCATACATTTTAAGTCAAATTGGAAGATATATTTGAGTGACAAGGAATGAAATTCACATCTTAGAAGTCTGATATTGAAACTCTAGACGTGAAATTAGACTTTGGGTATCTTTAATCCCATTTTTAATAAAACTTTGAAGAATAGCCATTTCTGGGCTGTCTAGTATAAAATGTCAAACATCTCAATTAACAAATGCTTTATAACCACAACAGATATACACACTATTCACACTAGCCTAGAATTTTCAAAAATACATCAATAATAATTTATTCTCAATAGTAAATAAATCTCTTAAAGGAATTTCCTTTAAGCAGTACTAAAAACTTAGAACTTCAATATGGTGATTACTTAATGGGAAATTCACTATAAATCATTCTATAGATAATAGACATATTTGATCTTCAAAGTCCAGATGAATACTATTCAGTACAGATAT